TCTGTATGCAGCACATGCCCTTTGCAACCCTCCCCACCCCTGCAAGCCACATGCAGCAGACTTGGTGAATCTAGCCTGCGTACCATCTCTACCTTGCGCCAGCTGCACCTGGTACCATGCATGGAGCTGGCACAGGGTGCATGCAACATGCTGTACGCTGCTGGACTGGCTCAAGCACTGCTGCAGGAGGCTGCCAAGCCAGGTCCCTGGCCCCATAGCCCTGGCAGCTGGGGGCCCCTCTGGCAGGGCTGGGAGGGGCAGGGAACAGTTGTGGATGGGAGACAAGGGGCACCAGCAGGGCCAGGGGTTTGTGGAGGGGGTGAGGAGCATCAGGAGGGCTGAGGGCAGGGAGGGGAGTGAGGGGCCTGGACTTGTATTCTTTGAGCCTAGGGGGCAGGGGGAGCTCTCATTTTTCATGATAAAAAAACTGAAATCAAATATCAAAATGTATAGGTATTTAGAATGTATTTTATTATAGTGATTGAGGCACTGATAAGCTTCCAAACTGCTTTAAAATTGTAAACATATCAATAAAACATTGTGTTCAACTGATACATATATGTATAATGGCCTTTCATTTTAATCATGCATTTTGGGGGGTTATCAGAGAATTTGTGATTTTTTTATCAGGGAAAACCAGGATTCCTATTAATCAGCTAGTCTGGTGATATCATAAAAGAGTTACCAATCTTTTTGCTTGGCCTAAAATCTAGTAAATTCAAGGAGCTCAAGCTTTCTAGCATCTGTGGTATGTCAGAGCACTCTGAAATTAATCCTTATTTTCCCATGTTTTGCAAAGGAGATACATATAAATGCAGCTTGTCTATCATATTTTTTCAGCAGGGGTGTCTACATTAATCATAGAATCATAGCAAATTAGGGAGCTCAGGAGGTCATCTAGACCGACCCCCTGCTCAAAGCAGGACCATCCCCCAAGTATGTAATGATAACTATAATGATTTTGCAGGTAACTGAACATCAAGATAGTCAAGAGAAACAGTAAAGAAAGTAAAAAATGGGAATAGAGGGGGGAAAAGGGGCAGGGAAGGAGGGGAGAGAGAGAGAGAGAAGGAATGCTGTTTTCTAAAGGTTTCCCCTATACAATTCATTTGCAAAATCTACTCAGAAGAGCAATCTTTCTAACATCCAGCAGTGCAGTCAACTTGTCATATCAGGACTTTCTTACTTAGTCATAAAGAGTGAATAAATTCACATAAATTGCTGTAATAAGGATTCAGCCCACAGACTCTGTGGCGTAAACACACATCTGGTCTCTGTTTGTAATGAGATCAGCTGAAAGCACCACTGTGCATTAATAACAAAAATGTTCAGCATATTGCTCCCAATAAGCCCTGTTCATTCCGAGTCTGAGAGCTTTTATTGTCACATGTTAATGTACTTTTAACACTGATAGATGATGAAGTGCCACCAAACATTCATCAAGAGACTTAAAAGTCACAAGATAATGTATAGTTGTAGAGTTGTTTTTATTTTCGTTAGCCCTTCTGCAACTTAAAGTTAAAAACAGAAGGGAAATACTGAGTATGGAGCAATCCTTACACACTGGTAACAATTTTGCTATAATGGAATAATCCTGTGGATACAAAGAATAAGGAAAATCTCTGTGACATAGAAGAAAACAGCTTCTTCACTTGATAATTCTGTGTTTTCAGTGTTTGTTGTCCTTTTCCTGGCTTCTTACCATGCGATCTTCTTCTTTCCCTTCCCTTTTCTATTTCATGTTCTTATTTTAAATCTTATTCCCTCACCCCCACTTCTTCCAAGTGCTGCTATCTGTCACCAGGGCTTTAATATTTTTACTCTCTAAAGTTTTGTAGCCCAAGCCATTGATGTGGCTGTCAGTGCTGCTCACTGCTGTAATATATGTTGTTTAAGTACTGTTTCTTTTGTAACCATTAGCCATGGTTTTTGTATTTGAGGCCCTTTGCAGATATCATGTAAAAGTTTGAATAAAAGGCAGCCCACAGGCTCAAAGGATGCAGGACTATACCTTTTGAGTTATGTGGTTGATCCAGGGAGAAGAGCAGTTGCTGAGGTCCGGCCCTTGGGGGTCCCAGATCCCGTCAGGAGCAAGACACAAGAAAGTTGAAACACCTAAAATGAAATGCAGGAAAGATTCGCTGTTACCAGCTATCAAATGCCTTAATCAGTCTGGGCCCAGTCCCACGGACTTTATTCATTTCATAATGAGCTGAATTCTATTCAGCACTTACCACCCACTTAAACAATGTTTTAAGAACTCAGCTAGCGGGGTGTCTGGCTCTCTAGATATCTAATTCCCTCATTACCATAGCCCCTCACCATCTTCGAAGTCAGGGCAGGTCAGTGAGTTGGATAAGTACCATCATCTCCATTTCAAAGATAAGGAATTTTCAAAACCTAGCCTAAAGAGGATAATTGGAATGCTTAAATGCAGGCACCTATGAAAATAATTTGTATCTAGCCCTAAGTGACATGCCTCAAGTCACAAAGGAAGTCTGGGGTGGGGAAAGGAACTGACCTGGGATTCCTGTGTGCTAAATTAGCTCCCCAGTGACTGGGACATTCTTCCTGTCTGCATTGCCTCACTGATGGCTCAAGGATCAGTCCTTGAGCTTGTGCATCCTCCTCTCCTGGTGCTTAGTGGAGGTTTCTCCACTTGATATAATTGTTAAACCAGACAGATGGAAATACTCAAAGTTTAGAATCTATAAATAATAAGATGTGGTGCAATGCTTCCCCCTTCACCCCTTACTGACAAAAGAGACTTTCGGAGAAAAGCTGTTGCATAAAGACTTCCTAAATTCCCTCCTGGGAAAGACAACAAAGTCATGTAAGACCTTGCAGATGGAGAGAAATACATCCCAAATGGTTCCATTAGAAACCTTTAAATGCAAGGAAACTGGATGGATGAGCCTGCATCCCATGAGTGCTCTGCACTGCAGAGCCAAATATATCAATAGGGAAGTAAATTATATATTGGGCCTGATACTCCTCTTCAAAGGGAGCAGGAAGAGGCCCACTGACGATACAGTGCAGTTGTAATGAATCACAGAAATTAGAGATGGAAAGGACCTACTGGCTGCTCTGGACCATTCCTTTTCAACAAGGGTTTTGTTTTTTTTCTAAAGCCTATTCCAAAATAGTTTATCCAGTCTAGTTTTTTAAAACTCGTGCAGAAGGAAGACCAGATTCCCTATGGAGACCATGCTGTAATCTCGCAGACCTGGTTGCTAGAAAATGGCTCCTGACATTCCACCTGGATTTTAATCTGGTCCATTCCACCATCCTATGCCCTGTCATCATAAATGACCATAACTTTCCTCTCTTGCTCAACATACAGTAAGCTCTAGGCAGGATATTCTGGTACCTACAATTTAAGTGACCCAGAAGGACTATTAAAAGAAATCTTTTACACCTGGTCTTCATGAGCTATTAGTCTCTCTTCTCTCCTCCCACATAAAAGTATCCACCCTGGAAACTCCAATGATTCTGACTGGTTTGAGACAATGTGAATAACTATAAGAATTAGGGAAGAATTAGTGAGGAAGTTGTCTCCATAATCTCTCTAATCCCTCCAGTCCTTTACTAATATTTGCTGTTCATCAGCAAATTCCCTGAACCTTCTGGTTCTCTTAATGGCATCTAGATCCTCAAAACTGGCATGCAAGTCATCAAAACTATACACTAGCACTGGCTAAATGAAATAGCTCTTTGAGATATTTTGCTAACATATAGACCCTCTTTTTTTTAATGTTGTTTTTTTTTTTCTGGGGGAGGAAAAAAGAAACATATTTAAGCTCTAACAGGGTCGAATATTTTTTTAATTTGAACTTTTTCTGACAAAACATAATTACCCACTACCCCAGGCACATTTCAGTCAACCCCCCCAAAAAACAAAACAAAACAAAACAAAAAAAGAACAGACCACACAAAAATGCCATTTTTTGACCAGCTCTACTATACTATTTCACTAGGGTATTCAACTGACTTTTCCCTTGATTTTCCCTGGGGGTCGCAATGAGTGCTAGCTATAATCTGTGGTTTCGAAAAACTGCCCATTTATGTATAGGCACCCATTTTTTATGTAAGAGACTTCACTTATACACATATGTTTGAAAATGTTGTCCTCAGCCATTAGCCCCCTGTCAATCACCCCAGAATCATTGAATCATATGCAGAACAATGACATTGTATAATGGTGTACAGCAGGGGTGTCAAAGATATAGCCTGTGGGCTGGATTTAGCCCCTGCCACATCATTTGGCTCCTGGTTCTGACCCCATGTAGGGCCAGTTGAGGACATCCCCCACATGCTAGATCCAGCACCTGTAGTGCCTACTCTGGCCGGTCTGGGACTGAGCTCCATGTGGTGCCTGCTGTGGTCAGTACAGTACGGGAGCTGCACATGGCACCCACCCCAGTTGGTACAGGGTGTCATGTGCAACATGGGTCATGGAATGGGTGTTGTGTATGGTGCAATCCCAAACCAGCCAGAGCAAGCATTGTGGGGGCTGGATCCAGAACGTGGGGAAGGGGGGAAAGGGGTCTGTGGGCCCAATCCAACCCGGGGGGTCTGGGGACTGATCCCTCACCACTCATCTGGCAGCTATGTGCTACTCAACCACCTGCCACACTTCATAAGATGAATATATCTGACAAAGAACATCAGCTTCATTCAGTAGTGACATGCTACATGGGTTTGCTTGCTAAGACACAGCATATGCATTATACATGCTATTATAAAGCAAACCTCATGCCAAGTCACTTAAAGAACCAGACAAATGGAGAAAGTTTCCTCAGTTCACTCCCACTGGGCTCACCTACTGTCCCCATAGGGCATGGTTGCTTTGCCACCTGTCCTTGCCGGGTCTTAGACCACATGATCTCGCGGGCTTCCACAGCCTCGCAGCTCTCTGCCCCTACAGCAGGGAGCTGGGAGGAAGCAGGCGGGAGATGCGTGGTCATCTCTTCAGGGATGTCTACAGCCGGGGATGGGGTGCTGGTGCTGCGGTTCCGCCTGCCTGTGGCTGACGTGGTGGTGGTGCGCCCAGTGCTGCTGCTGGTGACCCGCGGTGTGGTGCTGCTTGTGGTACTTCCAGTGCCCAGCGCTCCTGATGGCGATACTTCTAGGACAAAGTGAAAACATTTATTTTTTTTAAAAAGAGACCACTGACCTCTGTGGCCTTGTGAGGTCCTAGGAGAGAAGACATATCCATATGTCCTGGCACAGGGTTTTTTTTGGAAATTTGGAAAAGTTTGCAAATTCATCAAGGCCTTGTGTGAGCACTGAAAGACATATTAATTATGCCTATATTATACATAGGGTCTCACTGAACTTCTCCCCACACAGCACAGCAGTGGTAGTATCCCTGCAGGTGACAATTGCATTATAAGAACAAATAGCTGGTGTTCAGCTTAATCACATCAAACATTATTGAAAAGAACAAAATAATAAGAAAATACCATTTCTTATTACCAGATTTACTCAAATCCAAGATGAGGTTACTTTTCCCATTCAACATGGTAAAAAAAAAAAGCCTGTCGTGGATTTGTGTACAAGGTGGGGAGCAGGCAACTCTGCAGCTCTGGCCCTGACCCAAGCTCCGGGTCAGAACTGGAGCTGAAACCACTACCTGTCTGCTTGCCTCTGTGATACCCTGCCCCCCACCTCCTCCACCTGCCCCCTCCCCCACTGTTGTTTAGCCTCCATCCTGGCTCCAGCTCTGGCCCCACTTAAGTCTAGCTTCGCAGCAGCAGTTGTATCAGTCGCCAGCAGATCCAGCCCCAGCGTGGGTCAGAGCTGGAGCCAGGGCCAGGACCAGAGCTGCTGCTGGCATAGCCACTGCTGTGTGGCTGGGTTGGGACCAGAACCATCATTCTCAGCACTTCAGGTCAGATCAAGGCCAGTACCGAAGATAACTGGCGGTGGGGGTAGGGGGGCAGCAGGGGGGACCAAGTCAGGGGCCAGATGCCAGGGGGTAGAAGCACCACAGGGAGGCAGAAGCAGGGCAAATGGTAGGGAGGACAGATAGCAAGGGCCAAGGTGTAGAAGGGCAAGGAATGGGCATCAGGCCAGTTGACTTCCCTGCCGCCTGCCTCTCCTGCCACTGCTTTCCCCACTGCAGCAATGTGGGGTATGAATTTAAAATGAATCTCCAATAATTAGATTCTATACATGGAAAATTATAACAAATTTATACATTTTCCATTTCTAGAGCCTAATTATTGGGGGTCATCTTAAATTCAAAGTCATCTTGGATTCACATAAATACAGTAATCCTCCTACTGGTTCCCACCATGGGGGACTGTGCTATTTAAATGAACAGGGGTTTCATAGATTCATAGATGCTGGGATCAGAAGGGACCACAACAGATCATCGAGTTCGACCCCCTGCCTAGGCAGGAAAAAGTGCTGGGGTCAAATGACCCCAGCCTATCCAGCCTTCTCTTGAAGACCCCCAAGGTAGGGGAGAGCACCACCTCCCTTGGAAGCCGATTCCAAATTTTGGCCACCCTTACCATGAAGAAGGGTTAACTGGGGATACGCATACCCCTGGGGGTACGCGGCAGCGACGCAGAAAAGCAGGGGGCAGGGACACTTCCAGTTTCACCATTGGGAACCCCCCCCACCACACGCCCCCCGCGC